GTATATTGTGTTATGAAATCTTGTGGATGGTCTATGAACGCATAGGTATATTGTGTTATGAAATCCTGTGGACGGTCTATGAAACNTGTAGAGAGGTTGTGGGTGGTATTTGATGTTGGGAATTGGATTAGAACTTTTGGTATTTGGCAACATGTTTTTTATTAAATCTATAAACTCGTACTATTTTGAAAATATTGAATGATGTTGTTAATGGGAATGAAATGGAAGCGGTTAATGAAATCACTTCAGTATTTGATTAACGGAGCACATCTCCTCTTTATTCACGAATGAATTTGGGTAGAATGAAATATAACAGGCTTGCTCAGTCGGGTTCACTCGGTTGAGCGCCGGTCGCGCTCCTCGGTTTTGGGGCGTGACAGTATTGGAGGAAAGGTTCACAAAACAGGAGACACAACATCCTTCATTACATGGTCGGTCATCTGTAACCGATGAAATTGGAATAAGACGCTGAAGAATGAAGAAAGTATCAACGCCTGGGATCTAATAAAGTCACATGAGCCCTAATAAAATATCAGTGGCACCAACACAATTATTCAGAAGGCCAGAGCATTACGAAAAGCATCTGAATAAAGAGTATATACAACTCAGAGCCTACATAATGCCTTTACTTAAACTGTTAATGTATTTGCTAATGTTGAACAATTAATGAATTGCTTCTGAGAAACAATCAAAACCAGTCTAGGCCGTTTATGCTGAAGGGTGAAGAAAAGGCAGACTATATAGAAAGAAAGAGAAAGAATGATGAATTCCCTCAGTTCCAAATATCAAAACAGCCTCGTACAATAGGGGTCAACTAATGGTCACAAGTCTGCCTGTCAATTATTCGGAATTTTCCGACCAGATTTGAGCATTTTCTGACAAGTCAAAACTTTCCAACGACATTTTCTGGCAAGTTCGGTCATTTTCAAGTCCTTCCAGGTGATTTCTGGTCATCTTTCTAAGGTACGATACTGTTCAGTCCTTTTCCTGCCAAGTTTTCTGGCTAATTTGGTGTAGTTTCATGAGGTACTCTCTTGGGACAGCTTGTCAATTTCTGGAGATTATTTGTGAAAACTTTCGGTGATCCAACAATATGTCACGAGGATTTCAGAAACTTGATTGAAACAAACTAGGATCCAATACTTTGAACGAGCAGATATTTTCTTCACCTGATTATATTGAGAAAAAGCTTAACAGACATCTTCTGAGATAGCTTTTGTTACTCAGATAGGTAATCAGATGGCTTGTGTCTCTCCGTCTTTGGTGCATCTGATCATATTTCTATTAATGAATATTTTTATTCTACTATTTCTTATTCTCAATCTCTTCCAACAATCACATTGGTTGATGGATCTTAAACCATCCCGGAATAAATCGAGCTAGCCTACATTCTTCTTAACTTTGAATTCAGTTCTTTATGTTCCTGATTGTCCTTTTAATATCATAGACATTAATTGTTTATCCCAAACACTTAACTGCTTAGTGACCTTCAATAACTCTTGTCATATAGAAATGTAGCACAGGCGAATACTTGGCAATTGGCTTTGAATCATACGGACTTTATTACCTTAGCCTTCCTAAGTCGTCCATAACCTGTTCTTCGTCCATAGCTTGTCCTATTATTGATTTACCCGATCCATTACATAGATGATTGGGACATCCTAGATAATCAAATCTTCAAAAAAGTCGTATCTGCTTTGTCTCACTTGTCTAGTTTAGAATGTAAGCCGTGTTAGCTCGGTAAGTATAATCGCTCCCCCATCCACTGATGTCATGATAATCGGGCAATATCTCATTTCTCCTTTGTTCATTCAGACATTTGGATCCTAGTCAAAGTCAGATCTATTTTGGACTTCTACTGCTTTGTTAATTTCATTGGTCATTCGAGGTGCACTTGGATATCTTTGATGAAAAATCGACCGGAGCTGTTTTCCAATTTTCTTACCTTCCGTGCTGAAAAAATCAATTTGGGGTTTCTATCTGCACTTTTTGTAGTGTGATAATACACCATAATATTTATCTTCTCTATTTTAACTGTTCAAACTCTGATGAGATTGTTCATTGGAAATTATATCCTTACCCCTCTCAACACAATAGCATAACTAAGAGAAAAAATAGTTTTAAGGCAAAATTAAGTAAATAAAAGTTTGCTCTCTAATAGCTCAAACTTTTAGTTGATATAGTAACACACTTCAACATGGTATCACCATATCAGAATCATTGCTACCTTTTGAAGAAAGGTTTCTCTCGCTATAACACTAGGGATCCTTTTTGTCTTAAAAGACCGAGGTTTTTCTCCTACACGGTAGTTGTACGCATTAAAAGACGATTTTGTTGGTGGTGTGAAAAAACTAACACTAGCAGAGGCTTCCTCAGGCAACAACAACCAAACCCAAATAAGTAGCTTCGTTAAAGGACGTCTCACGCACCGTCACGCGCCGCTGATAGCCCCTACTCGGGCGAGGGGTAAGTCCCACGTGTCAGCGAGTAGACCACTTGCCGGCGACCTTTTAAGTGAGATTTTCACTCTGTGGTTTTGCTGGCCTATTCCGAGCCTACCCATTCATATTCCAACAATTTCCGAGCACCAGAAGTAGGATTCCAGCATGTCAAATTCCTTTTCAGCGAGAGATTTGCTGTTTCTTTTACTTCTATGAAATTCAGGTATGAAAGGTGTTTCTTCAGATTCTTGAAAAAAAGTAGACTATTATTTGTTCAAACTATGGAGACACAAAGGCAGTAGATGATACTTCTCTTTCACACATTAGTGTTGTAAAACTAGATGGGCCGGTACGTATTTTGCTTGG